CATCCAGAACAGTCACTGTGAAATTACAGAAACCCTTCCTGGGCTTCTAATTTGTCCCAGAAACGGAGGGAAGCTCGGAGGATTCGTGCTTTGTGAGCCAGGGTCTCCGCCTTCAGAAAGCTCCCCGCCGGGCACGCGGCTTCACGGTGTGAGAAGCGTCATCCTGAATCTGGTCCTGCGTTTGTTCATTCCTTCCTTTCAACCCGATAGAACCCTTAGGATGTTCTAGACACTACTTTCAGCATTAGGAAGTAGACAAAGGATATTGCTGTTAATACCTTAGTAGGGAGGTATTATTAATCGTATTTTTCTTGTTAGTAAGCCAAAATAGCTCATAAGGAGAACGAGGTAGCACACCCTAAAGGCACTCGTGGTCTAGCAGGGACAAAAACAAGTACAATGATTGTCATGAATCTTTGAAGAACTGAGCCCGAGAGGTTAGGGGACTGCGTTCCTCCCGCAGCTCCCAAGCTTGGCAGAGCAAGCTGGGAACCAGGTTCCAGACCCTGGGGATTGGCCCCCTCACTGATCCCCCTGTGCTGGCCTGATTCTAAGATTCCAGGAACCTCGGAGCACAGTGTGGAAACCTGCCCTGCTGAGGGTCATGGGAGGGCAGGGCCATAACTGGGACACAAGTCAAAATCAATGTCCCAGCCAGGGCAGTGGCCTTTGGCCTTTATTTAGTCTGTGTGGCTTTTAAACAGATGTTTTTTAAGTGATCAGTTTCTTTACAGAAATCAGATCATAAATTTATACTGGGATTATACACACCATATGTATTTCCAATATAATCATTAATGAAGAAAATGCAACCAGTCTATTAAGGATTCTATTTTTCCCCTGAGGATGTTCTGCAAAGCAAAAAGAAATGATTTAACTGTATAAAAAAAGAATATGATGAGTCTGTTTCTTTGTAATGAGCAGTGTCTTGATCTTAGCATGAAGCTGGTTTGTATTTTTAGGGTGCACATAGATTAAAAAGAAAATGTACCGTTTGCATCTTTCATCCAGTACAGCCTCGCTGGTAAATTTCCATTCGATTTTAGTAAGATGTCAGTTGACCTCTTTCAAATTCTGGTGGTTAAAAATTAATCATACTACACTTAGCCGAGTTTTTTTTTTTTTTTTGTTAACAGAAGGTCAAGAACCCGAAGTGAAGTTCTGTCATCCACTCAAAAAATATGTCCTGTATGCTTGCTGTGTGCCCGGCCCCGTGCAGGGCCCTGGGAGTCACCTCGGCCCTCCCCTGGGAGGGAGGGGGCCTGGTGGCTTACTGTGCCCTGTGATAAGGATTTTAGGGGAGCCCATGAAGGGCCACATCTCTGGTTTGGGGAGGGGGTGAGAACAGACCTCACAGGGGAAGCAGCACTGAGCTGAGATCTGAGTGATGAGGGGGAATTAGCCGGGCCGATGTCCCAGGTAGAGGTCGCAGCAGGAGGAACTGCAAATATTTCAGTCCTGCAGGAGCTCTGGGGCAGGTGGACTTGGGAGAGACGATGCTAGAGAAGAGGGCAGGGGCCAGGTCACGGAGACCTTTGAGGGCCATGCTGGGGAGTTTGGACTTTACCCTGACGGCAGACTGTGCTATGCAAACTGTAAAGCCCCTGACAGCCCCCAAGCTGCATTATCAACTTGTGAGCGTGTATATAAAATAAACGTGCACTGAATCAATACCTATAATCACACCCAAAGTCTCCTTTTAAATGTGCCCTTGGTGATGTCCCTTTAGTACTTGGGAGCCTTTAAAAAGACAAAGCTGCCTTTGCTTCAGTCCCTAGTAACCGGGGATTTATACACCCGTGAGCCTCAGTGGTGTTAAGTGCGGCTTGAAGAACCAGGGCTCAACCTCCAGCTCCCCACACAGCGGGGCAAAGAGGCTGCTCCTTCTCTTGGCTCAGGGTCTGACTCTGCTTTATCCTGTAGGTGGAGTGAGTACTAAGGGGTTAAAGGAGAAGGACCAGAGTCTCCTCTGCGTTTCCAGATAAACCTGAGGGCAGCGCACAAGGTGGACAGTGTGGGATCAGGACCTGAGGCAAGAATGCTCGTGACAGTTCAGTGGTGATGGTAATGAAATGATGGGCAAAAGCCAGACAAAATGTGTGGGCAAAATCAGCAGGACCGGACCCCCGTGGATGTTGGGAAAAGATAAAGGGTAAGGAAGAGCCAATGATACCCTTAAGTTCTGAGCTTGAGAAAATTCGGTGGATTCAGTGACGCCTTCAGTTCAGACAGGGAGATGCAGAGAAGGCTAGTCAAGTTTCAGGAGCTCACAGACACTCATAGCAGCTACATCCTGGGGGCAGTGGATATAAGGGCCTGGATCTTGGGATAGAGCGAGGTAAGGACGCGTATTTAGAAAGACTTGCACATCAGTGATCAAGTCGGGCAAGTTGAAGGGATGATGGAGTAATCCACAAAAGAAAGAAAGAGCTGGGCTAAGGCGATAATCCAGATGGTCAGCAGGATTTAAATGATTGATCAAGAAAAGGAAGGCAGAATAGATGTTAGAGGTTTGAAGGATTCATATCCAGTTTGCAAAGAGCAGAAAAGTGAACAGGAAATGGGGAGGTTCAGGCAGCAGCCGAGACCACAGTTTTGTCCAGAAGCTAAGCAGAGAAGGAAGGATGGAAGAGAGGCAGTTGCTGGGGTGGGGAGACTGGGCCAAAGAAAGGGGCTGTTCTGTTGGTTGGTTGGTTTGCTCTTAAAGTGGAGACATTTGATCACATCAATGGCAACACATAACAAACACCACGGGAAAAAGACTGAGGGTGCAAGAGTGAAGAGATGACGGGGGAACAGTGTCTGGGAGGAGAGAGGAGGAGGCAGAAGGCCAGGGCGAGAGCTGAGTAGCAGCCTGCAGACATCTGGAGGTGTGGGAGTGGCAGTTTTAAGGCCTTCCGTCCCAGTAGCTTCTACTTCTAAACACACATGCTTTTCACCGCGTTCCCTTACCTCCAGGCTGTTACTCGAAGCCACTGTTTATTCTTCCTCTGGGCCGCTGGTTCGGGTACCTTCTATTTCCAGGAGGAAGGACCCTTCTCATGATCTCTGAAGACAAAGGGAATTATTCACATCAAGATCTAAGACAACATGGACTCCGTGACTATAAATTAATGAGAAGGACTGTGATGAGCACAACCAGAGCCCTTCCTGCCAAGAGACTACCCAAGAACGTGACGACTTTGCCTTCCTTGGCAAGCTCTCCCTCGCTCTCGCCTGCGTGGTGCTACCGCTGAGCCCAGTGCTGATTTCTCTCCACATGTGATCTGCTGTGAGCCCTCCAGGGCAGGGGTGTCACATCTATCTCTCAGTCCTCCGTGGAATCTGCCCAGTGCTTGTCACACACATGTGTTGAATTAAATTGAATTCAAAGCAGTTTCCAGAGATTGGCCTCACATCTGTGTCAATGATGGTCCCAAGGCCCCAAATGTTTTTAGAATTCAGCTCTGGGGTTATCTTCCGAGGAATATAAAAAGGATCAGTCACGTTCATTTGTATCCATATCATATTTTTTTGTCCCAAATGACATTTTCCCACTGTGGTAGCCAGCCTCCAAGATGGCCGCCTGGTATTCACACTCTTGGGTATCCCCTTCCACACTGGACCAGGGTTGGTCTGTGTGATTAATAAAATATGCAGAAGTGATGGTATGTCACTTTCAAGGTTAGGTAATAACCCAAAGACTGTGTCTTCTGTTTTGGGAGCTCTCTGTTGCTTGCTCATTCTCCTCTCTCTCTCTCTCTGCCTCTCTCCCATTCTCTTTCTCATCATGTTCTCTGGCAGAAGCCAGCTGTCATGTTTTGTGGGCATTCAGACAGCCACGTGGAAACACCCACATGGTAAGAAATGAAGGAAACCTCAGTCCAGTAGCCCATGAAGAACTCAGGCTTGCCAACAACCATGTGAGTAGTCTTGGAAGTGCATCCCTCAGCCCCAGTCAAGCCTTCAGGTGAGATCACAGCCCCAGTCAACGTCTTGTCTGCAATCTTTTAGAGACCCTGAGCCAGAACACCCAGGTAAGCTACTTCTGAGTTCCTGACACTCAGAAACTACGAGATAATAGAAGTTTGTTGTTTTAAGTTGTTAAGTTTTGTGGTAACTTGACACACAGCAATAGATAACTCACATACCCAAACTGGTTATTAATCTGATTAACTGGAGTTATTTCCAAGTGACTTTTAGTTATTTCCAAAAATCAAATCCAAGGGCAACTGTTTGTCACCACTATAGAGATTCAAAAGAATGGGCCAGAGATTCGAAGGCATTCCAAAACAGAGTGTTCAAAAACATTCTCAGCAGTGGTCACATTGTTAGAATAACTGTATTTCTCCCAAAGTGTTACCTGGGAGGAGGTCTAAACTTAGGCGTTTTTTAAAGCAAGCCTCAGCGTTTGTGCTTCAAATAAACTGGAGTAAGCATAAGGAGAGTCAGATAGCACACTCCATGAAATATTAATATCTGTGTTATTCACTTTTTTGAAGTATATTCAGTTACAGTGTGTCAGTTTCTGGTGTAGAGCACAATGTCCCAGTCATGTGTATATATACGTATATTCATATTTTTCTCATTAAAGGTTATTACAAGAACTGAACGTGTGCTATAGAGGAGAAACTTTTTTTTAAGTCTATTTTTATATGTAGTGGCTAACATTTGTAAATCTGAAACTCCCGAATTTGTTATTCATTTTATTGAAGAACTCTGATCATAGGGTGAACTTCACAATCCTGGAAAGCACATGGAAAAACAGAGACTTTAGAGTCCTCAAAGTCCTATCACTGCCACTCCTTACCTGGATTGAGGTCCTACATTGGCCATATAGCCTTCGACAAGTTACAGTAGCTCACTAGGCCTCAGTTTGCTCATCTATAAAATGGGCAGGGACATAGTGCTGCCTCTCAGGATGATTGTGAAGTTGAAGAGTAAAACTGTCATGCAACTTGTAGAGAGTGAGAATTTTTCATATACAATGAACACTGTGAGTTGCTACCCACTTCTTCTACGTAAGGAGGTAATAAACTGGGTGAACAGAGCTGCTATGAGGGTTAAATGAGAAAACTGACTGTAAAAGGGAGAAACTAAAAAATTATTAGTCCTGTCTTCTTGCTGAAAAGTGCAGTTGAGGATGGAGAGCAAAGAGGAGTTCAAAAGAGTTTGGGGTCTTCAGAAAATGCTCCAGACTGAGGCAGAAGGGAGACCAATGCTGATTTCCTGTGCCAAAATATTAAAAATATTTTGATGATTTTATTCCTGACAAATTGTGAGTTTTATAGCTTTTCAGTGATTGGCAGAACAAGTTTATGCAGGATGGTTCTTTTCATTTTCATTTTAAATAGTTTGTATTTCAGGGGTTTATCTCCTGCAAAATAGCGTTAGCAGAGTTTGGCTTGATCAGAAAAGAATGTGTTGGTGTCCCACCGAAGAAAACAGGACCACTTACCGACTGACCGCTGGTGAAACGGCTCGCTTCTGGGTCTGTCGGGCATGAGGCCTGTAACATAGGAGCAGTTTTCAGGCAAGCCCCCTCTGACCACTTCTAGAATGTTCTATGCTTTTGTTACTGATGCCACACATACACCTTTCAGGCAAGGAAGCAGTGGAAGGTCACCAAAAAGTTTTGCTGCCATCAGCACCGGTAGGAAAAAGCCTCCTATTTACCTATTTTACCAACAGGTAAAAGTGTTTCTCAAGTCATGGAACACTAACTCAATCCCACTTCAAATGAGAGACCACATTAGAAGGGGGAAAGGAAAGCCCTTCCTCCCCAAAACGAGGTTCTCAGAGGGATGGTCAGCTCTGGTCACATGGCTGGGGGATGACAGAATTCCACCCCAACCAGTCAGATGAGGTTTGGTCCAGATCCTCCCACCTGCGCCTCCTTGCACACTGGGGCCCTGCCACGCTGCCATGCTCCTGGGAGGGAACAAGCGCGTTCAAGCTGGGGGACCCTCTTATGGTAAAAACCAGCATCTGCGGTGTGTAA